TGTTATATCAATATAATCATTTGTTCAGTCGTATCAATGAAAAGGAATCTTGCATATTTTATAGTGAATGTTTGTTTCTGACTTCTAATATAGAGAAACAAATGAAAGTCTTACAACCTCTTTTTTTCCCTCGAAATATGAATTATGGTTGTAGCTACAGTTGAAGTATAACCAATATATAGATATATATATAATTATTATGTTCATTGACGTTACTTAAAAATGTTTAACTCGTTGTTAATTAAGCCTTTTTCAACAACCTTTGACAGCAACTATGAGCCTCAACAATAAATGTTAAGATTCACTTCTTATATAATCTAAATGTTAGTACTCCTACAAAGGCTATAGTGATTATTGTAGCTTTCTCTTTTTTTCTGATACAATATTATACGTTAGAAGAAACAATATGAAATAATAAACTGTATACAAATTGACAAAATACTTTATCTTTTACATTTTTGTTTTCCTTTCTACCTAGTTTCCCCCTCTAAGGTAACAATCAAGGGACATCGTGAGGGTAGAATCGGGGACAACATCACATTAACGTGTCTAGCAGGTCCAAGTAATCCAGAATCCGAGCTATCGTGGATAGTAGATGGATTACCAGTATTTTCTACTTTTGATACTACCTTAACTTCATTAGGGACTTGGTTCACGACATCAAATATCAGTTTCACATTGACCAAGCAGGTAAATTGAAGGGATTTAAATATAACTGTGGTCAAAGTTTTTAAAATATTTGTTTTTAGTCCTATCTGAATTATAACGTGTTATTAATCTTCTTGTGTGTTTGTAAGAAAACAACACTGTTCTACTTATAAAATAATAACTTTTGTAGCAAGTAAAGAACGCTAAAATGAACAAACGCTTTGCAGTAATTATGAACTCTTAGTTAATGTGGGTATTTCAGTAAAACAAACAACTATAAGGTGTTGATAAGAATTTCAGTTCTTAAGTTTTTATATATTTATTCTTTATTGTTCACTATCGTTATTTGAGATTAAAACACGATGAACATTCATGGATAAGATCAAAGTGTTTATAAATCAGGAGAACTATCCTGAGGATGGACTTTATTTTAAAAGACATTACACAACAGCTTACACGGAAGCATTTTATCGCTTAGTTTTTTATTTTAACGCTTTTATAAACTGCTATTTATAATCTGTAAAATAATCATAATCAGCTAACATATCACTATAAATATTATTCATAATATATATATATATTTAAGCATTAATAATCTTTTCTAATACTAGATTTTTCCTTCATTCAATAAAATCATTCGTTTTTCTGCAAATTCCTTGTTTTTATAAGATTATCTAGCCATCTTACCACCGAGTTCTATGATTATGCATTATGAATATATTTTGTAAGTATCCAATAAAAATGACTTAAGTCTTATGAAGATTAGTTCAGACACCTAAATTTGTGGATCAGTATTCAAAATTACCTGAATACATTAATAGTGAAATCAAGCAAAGTGTTACAAAATTAGTCCGTTTTCTTTTGTCATTTGATTTAATATTTGATTGATAATGTATTGTTATCTGACAGTTGTATTACACACACACACACATATATATATGTATATGCATAACAGTATTTTAAAATCTCATTAAATATTGTTTATTAACATATCTAACTGAACACATTTAATTATTACACCAAGTCCTTGTCATTATACAGCTTGTTAATAATTATTATATTTGAAATATTGTTGTTACTATTAGCTCTAGCCATATGAGGTATTTGTAACTTAAAATGACATTTTAAAAGCTGTATTGCTAACGTTCTTAACGCTCGTTGTACCTGAAAGAAGACAGTTGTAAACAGAGTTTGCCAAACTAAGAAAAGACTGTGAAGGTTATTATGAATATCTATTTAAATCACTTCTTTTTCTCAGTAGAAATTAAGTTATATCTGTGAACTACTTTTTGGAAGTTGCTTTTTTATTGCCGAAGTTAAAAATACTGCAATACGTGTACGGTAAGGCATAGAAATCAAATTAGACTTATAATCTTGTCATTTAAATTCATATATATACACATGATAAGGGTCAATAACGGTGGGTTGTATAATCTATTACTGTGAGCGCAATTACACATAGTTGTTTTGGGAGCCCATCACACATTATTTTAAAATGAAGATAATGATTTTTGAAAAATGTACACAATTTCAGAATTATAAAGGAATATTCAACCTTAAATTCAATCACTGATCATAAGGAAAAATCTTTGAATATATATATATATATTTTTAGGATCCTGATACGAAGACATTTTCCTGTGTAGCTGTCAACAAGATTTTAAATGAGCATGTCACACAAACAGCAAAACTTAGTGTTATATGTAAGTACATAAGCAAATCTGAGGTCATGATTTCAGATTTGCACCGTCTGATTTTATATATATACTTATAACTGAATTATTATTATTATTAGAATTCATGATATCTCATTTGATTTTCTTGGTTACAAATACAGCTAGTCAAAACGTTTACAGCTTCTTTGGTGAGTAATACGTATATATTATTTCGCAATAAAAAGACGTCCCATATAGGGTTATAAAGCTTTGTATTACTCCCAGCATCATAAACAAGAATGTCAGTTGTAGAAACGATTCGCCTCATTGATTTGTCATTTATGCTTGTATGAACTTATCAAAATTCAAAATAGACACAGTATCGCAGTGTTATGTGTGTTTGAGCCTGTCTTTAAAGTTTATTTTTCTAAACAATTTCTATAGCATTTAAGAAAAAACAATATACACATTAATTAGTGGTCTGTCGTCGCCTTGTTTGTCAACCGATTTTATTTATTATATTGAATAACCTTCAAATAATACAAATTTTGAAATTAACTCTAATACTTTCTTTTGGCTCTTAACCTTCCACCGTTTTCAAACTTGTAGTCATGAAAAGGACGGGGCTGTTCGTGAGGCCTGAGGAACAGTATCACTCAGGAAATCACATCTGAAGATGGCAATATTTATAAGATGAGATACAGTGTTAGAATTAGTTACAAAATGTAAATTAGCCTGAATATTATTAGATATAATAAAATATAAACAAAAAGAAGGTTACTTGTTTATTTGCCACTATAATGACAACCTGCCAATCATATTTAGTAATCGTTCACCAAAAAACGTCTATCTAGCTACCTGTCCCCAAGTGGGTCAGCGGTTGGTTTGTTTGTTTATTTGTAATTAAACGCAAAGCTACACAATGGGCTAGCTGTACTCTGCCCACCACGGGTATAGAAACCCGGATTCTAGCGTTGTAAGTCAGCAGACATACCGCTGTGCCACTGGGGGGCCAGCGGTTGGTTTACGGACTTATAACACTAAAGTTCAGTTCCCCTCGGTGGACAGAGTGCAGATAACAAATCGTATAGTTTTGAGTCTAAAACAAAACACACACATTAAAACATCTAACATAACTACATTTTTCATATCTAATACAAGTTATTATAAATAAAGTAGAGTTTAATGCAAAAAGTATGAATTTATATATTTTATTCCTGAATAATATAAGCTGCAATTACTTGATGGGAATTTTTTTTTCAAGGCAACAACACAATACTAGTTTAAAGATACAGTGTATATGTTCTGCATCAAAATGGTAGTATTTCAGGGATGTGTTTACTTTCTGAGGGCTTAATGTAACATGATTTCAGAGACTTCCAATCTTACAGATCCACCAGGACCGCCATCTGTAGAAGAACTTGATAATGAACCAATCATTTCAGGGGAAATAAAACAAATTACCTGTGTTTCTTTCGGCGGGAATCCTCGTGCAACCATTCGATGGTTCAAGGGAGATATGGAGGTAATATAGCATGACACGTCTTAAATTGCTTGTTATTTTGAACTTAGATTGTTTTATAAAATAACAACAGACATTTCGGTTCTGGTAAAATCCGTTTGAAAAACTAGAGTGCTTTACATATAAATGTAATATGGGAAAATAATGTTGCAACAGAAATTGTCGCCAGAATAAAACTTTTACACACACACACACACAGATATATATATATATATTATTTAAATAGTAGTTTTGATTAGAATAGTGAATATGTATCCGTATACGATGCAATAACGCCATATTTTGTAATGCATGTTAGGCTACGGAGGCGCTACACAACAAATTATGTTAACAAATCTAACTTTTATTTCTCGAGATTTCATGAATTTTCTTGAAAATAAATTGAAATATGTTGATGTTTTATCAATGAATACATAATTTCGTATATAGTAAAATTCAAAAACAAAACAATTAACATTACTCTAAGGGTAAGAGAAGTATGTGATCGACGTTTCGGACTTCAAAACGCTAAAATGAGGACTGAACATAATGGTAAAACCAATTATTGATTTTTTCAACTTGTAATGTGAATATTAGTACATCCATAGGCATTTAAGAGGCATTTTAAGGCTGAAAAGAGAATCTCCAGGGAAGAGGTATTAAGCATATTCCTCTTATAAGATAATCAGCATGACTATATTTTCTGAACCCAACCGTGCAAAATGTTACATATATTGTGAATCATCAGAGAATAAAGGGTTTTTTTATAATTTAACTGTGCTCTTAACACTAAGAAATTCATCAGACTGCATATAGTTAGAAATGATTTTTATAAATAGGAAATTATCGAACTACTTTGTCATTTGGTGGGACAGCTGTAAATCTTCAGATTTACAATGCTACAATCAGGGGTTCGATTCCCCTCGGTGGACACAGCAGATAGCTCAATGTGGCTTTGCTATAAGAAAACACACTAGAGCTACTTTAAGAAAGAAATTACTAATCTTCTCACATGTGAGAGTCGATAACAAATCACAGTCAAATTGCATTGTGTCCAAAAACATAACGGAGAAGTGTTACAGTCAGTTTCTACAAATAATAATACACTACATTCATTGATTAATTATCATGATAAACATAAAAATATAATGTTTGCCTGCAGTATGTGTCTGCAATATATAAACCTAACGTCGGTTATAAACACTGAAAATTAATATAAATTTTACAGAAACATAGTAGCTTTGTGAGTCACAGTAATAAAAGTAAACATTGGTAACACTGCCACTATAATTTTACATTACAGTCATACTCAAACACAAGTTAATTTTGTACCCAAAAATACCTTTTTATGCTAAGATATTAATTCTCTCATTTCAATGTTCCATGTCCCTTAGGTCGTAGCTATGACTAAGCCTGTACCTAATGGAGTTGCAAGTAGCTTAATAATCCAAGCTGAAGCAAGTGATAATGGAGCAGTATATAGATGTGAAGCGTCCAATCCGGCAATACCCCGACCTCTGGTGGTTTCTGTAACAACTAGAGTCATCTGTAAGCGATAGACATCATCTACAATGGTTTATCACTTTTGTAGCTTTATCTTAATCAGAATATTTCATTTGAAATACACATAGATCATTTCTTTAGAGACTTAAAATATCATTGATGTTTCTTTTGGTATGATCCTAATAAAAACACAATTAACCACTTTGTGTTATATATTTTCAATGACAACAGATTCATCATCATTTGTCTTTAGAAAACAAAGTTATTCAAAATATGGTTCTAACTTTTGTTGTACTTCTTAGTTCCACCTGCTGAATTAAACGTCGAAATAAAGCCGCAAAATCCGAGGGAAAATCAAATTGTAAGTTATTCAGATTTTGTGCTTTTGAATATATGTAAGATACTTTTATAATTAAGTCTTACTCAATTTTAAGAATCTAATGACCTGATATTAGCATAGAGAATAAAAAAAGGCAAAAGAATGAGTGCGTCTAGAAATAAATTTTGATGAATTTTTTAGTATGGATGTATGCTACTTTTATTTTACTTTTCATTTGCTGTTTCTTTTTTCTACAACTTGAGCAACACCAAGGTATTTAAATTGCTTAAAAGGTTTTTTTTGTGTGTGATCCTAGCTATTTATTTTTGCCGTAGTCTTTTTTTCTATAAACATTTTGCTGAAGATAGATTGGTCTTACTTTGTAGGACTTTGTTGTTAGTGTAAGTGTAATAACATTCTGTGGCGTTGACAAGTGATAATCTAACAATGAACAGGTAACAATAACATGCGAGTCTGGATCCAGTAATCCTGAGAGCATCATTCAGTGGTGGAGGAATGATAAATTGATCAGTGGAGATGTGGTTGCGATCTCTAGAGGAGACTATGGAGGAAAAGTAACAAGAAGTCGACTTCGATTTAACGTCAGTTTTGAAGATGATGGCTCGGTGTTCGTGTGTCAAGCAACGAACCCTAGAATACATCGTTCTATACAAAAAACCATCAAACTTGAAATACTTTGTAAGAATTATTTTCTTGTTCAATTATCCAGGTATCTAACGTTTAGTCTGCGTAACTTAAATTTTTTTGAAAGACTGTATACGTTTACGGATGCTCGTTCGGATAATCAATTTCAATGTAATGTGTATTCTCTACTTGGAAAACATGTATTACATTCCGCTGACAAAATAAGATAAAATAATGATTACAATTATGGTTGAGAGCATCGCTCGCATTGTTTGTACACTATTAAAGAATCACTAAGATTTAGTTATATGTTTTTGTATACCAAACCTAATGTACTTGAACGATTTGCATTGTTTTTCTAAATTTTATTTAAAATGATAAAACTTTCAAACTTTATATAAATACTTATTTTTTTTGTTATATCTATTTGGGCTTAAAGTAGATTAACAGTAAACAGTTATGTAAATATAGATTTGTATTTCTTTTGACATGCTACATTTTCGTTCTCTTGGCATAACTTAAAATCTTATGTTTATATATATATAAGTTTTATTTACGTATTTCTAGAACTTGTAATAAATAACCGGTATCTGAAGTATAAAAACTAGTTTGCGCACATAAGTTACGAGGCGAATACATTTGTAATTAATCTCATATAAGGGGAAAATACGTTAAACCCCTTATAACTACTTTAAAAGTTTACGGTTTCCTAAATTCAGACAATAACTGTTACGTAATTTCTTTCAATAAAAAAAGCTCGACAACAGGAAGTTTACTGAAGCACGTTATCATTCAGGTGTTTTGCGTCAGAGCTTGAAAGCCTTAGATAGTTAATGTATAGAGTTATCCTACGACCAGTTGGAAATATTTTCTCCATAGTCTATCAATATTAAACATCAAATAATAGATATGACATGTTGGTGTTAGCCTTTTATTTTTTGTTATATTAATTGCAGCAACTACAATCGAAGTAAATTTAGAACATTATAGAATGCGCTTTAAAAACAGCAGAAGAACTATAGTGCATTTGTTTATTCTATTCATTCTGTCATTGCTAGATAAGCCCCGATTTCTGGTTCAAAATCTGGAGCGCTTCGATGTGCTAGAAGGAGAATCAGCTCATATCAACGTTACTGTAAAAGCTAATCCGTCGTCCATCTCCTACCAGTGGTTTCAAGAGGGGCAGTTAATAATTGACCCCTCGTCCAGTGCACTCTGGATCACGCACGGTCCTCATAGTCATAATGTTTTTGCAAGAGGTTCAGTACTAGAAATCCCAAAAGTTTCAAGAAATCATGCGGGTCTTTATGTATGTGAAGCTGCAAACTCCGAAGGAGCTACAAAAATTGAAATAATCATTAACGTTCTATGTAAGTCACACTTTTAATGTTACTTGTTTACTGATTTTTAAATTTAAGTTATGTTTTACAATTTCGGATGCCTCAAAGGTAAATAATCAGGCAAAATTCACTGAAATCTTAATCAGCTATAAGAGACTTAGTTATTTTAGTTGATTTTTACAATAATATCGTTTAATGTAATAGGTCTAAAAAATAGTTGTCATAGACGCCACATTTATTAAGTTTAGTTTTAGAGAGTAAAGAAGGCTGAATCCTGTGTTCAATGATATGCATTAATAGTGTTTAAGATAATTGAATCCAAAAGCTTTTAAATTTTCAACTTGTGTTCCTCAGGTTTAAATACCAAAACATCATATAATTTGCCTTAAATATTGTGAATACATAAAAAATTTGTTTTCTGTATGAAATAGTTTAGTGAAATTTTCAAATGGTAAAATTGTCCATAGCGTACAAGTAAAGGAGCATATCAAAATAATGTTCCCAATTAGGTAGATTAAGTAAGACCTAAAGAAAGCGAATATTGTCAATAAAAATATATGTAATGCTTCAAAAAAAATCTCTAATTAATATTAACATCCAATCAGAGCAAGCTACCTACTTTGAACAAATTAAAAATCAATTTGGTAATGAGTATAGCTAATTAAATGTATTTTTCTTGTGTTCTGACTTATAAATATTATACTACGTTGCTTCATCAGTTGGGCACCATTGCTGCTAACGATATTTTCGACCGTAAACCTAATAATACCTCACGGACCTTGGTTAGCTTAGAAGATTTAGGTAAGTCCTAAATCCAAACACCAAACTAACAATACAAAACAATGTTTATAATAAAATTATAATAATGAAAATTAAAAATTGTAAAAAGAAATATCTAAAACATTCGAAATTTACTTTTATTGCAGTTGTCACCTTTTCCACAGACAAATTAAAATACTATTATAAAATGTTAATAACAAATTATAACTGCTATCGGAACATGCAACTTTACTTGTGGAAGTGGGATTTATGTCATGTCTCACTCTCACTCCCATTTATATAGTATATATATATATATATATATATAACGAATGTAAGATATTTAGCGCTTTATTTTGCAACAACTAACAAAGCTACTTCAGTTTCATTTAAGTTTAGGTAAAACTTACTAAAGTACAAGTGTTTGAAACAATTATTATTAGTTTTCAAAGATTTTACGAAAATATTTGTATTTAAGACCAAGCTCCTAAAGCTGTGTGCTGCCGTTTCTCATTTTATACTACAGACGAGAAGAAAGGCAGCCAGTCAATAGCACCCTGTCAACTGCCATCCACGATAAGAGAATCATTGTCCCCATATAACGCACCCACAATTTAAAGTGCGGGGAATATTTTATCCTATCGCACGCAATCGAACCTGGATTGTCATCTCCGAAATCGGGATCTGTAAGTCAGAGCCAACGCAAGCCCTTTTTCTGAAAGTATTCAATCCATTTACATATATATATAAGTAACCAAAAATACGCACTTCGCAACTGTCAGAAAAGCACCTCTTATGATATAACAGTTGTTCGTCATGATATTTAACATTATTGTTAAAGCGTAACAATAAAAAAAATATTAGATCTTATTATTCAGTTCTCTACCTAAATTTAAAGTTACAACTTTCTTTGCAACAAACGTCCTTGTGTAATTAAAATCTAAAAGTTTGTGCTTTTCATCGCTTTCTACCATTTTACCACTTCATGCAATTAATATTAAAAGCAACTACTTACTTTCATATTACGGAATCATAGTCAAATACACATATACATGTATATGATAATTTGCTAATTACATTTTCAGTACCCTGTAATAATAATTTAGTAATGTTATTGCTTAAATTTGTATTCCATAAAACTGATCTGTGTAGTATATCAGGTTGTATATTATTCCTATACTCTAATATAAGTTACAATTTTTTCTTACATTTTTAATTACATTTGAGCGATAGAGTATCATACTAATAGCGTATGGATGGTTAGCCTCATAAAGACATCATCTAAGCAAAATAAATATATTATCCATACTCATATATATTACATATTTGTAGTTTGCAACCGTACAAGTACATTGTTTTACAGACAAGAAAGTAAACTGAAACGAAATACTTGCATTATGACGTAAATCTACATAATCTCCCTTTTTGGCAAGATTTTCTTATATAGCCAACATTTTTCTTTTTTTAGCTACAAATCATAATATGAAAATGTGTATTGTTATTAAGAAGAAAGCTTATGTAAAAATGCTTTTGAATCATCCAATAATAAAGTATCCTGAAACATTGCGGATGTTGGCATTCTTCTGACAAAATATAACTATGAAATCATTATTGAATTTTTAATATTAAGAGCATGCAATTGTATAGAAGTTGCTGCATGTTTAGTCTGTGTCATTGCATTTATCCAGATTAAAAGTTGTTTTAATTGGTTACGTCATATTTAATATCAAGTTTAACGAAGCTAATTTTGCAGTAAAGTAAATTAGTTCTAATGGAAATTCTCTCTTTGATCAACTCCACACCTTATTCCACAAACGTCCTTTTCATTAGAAACAAAAATAAGATTATTTATTGTTTTTAATGAATTTTATTACTATTTAAATAGCCATATCTACTTTTAACCTATGATTATTCTTGCAAACTTTTATTTTAGAATATATCTCAAGTAATTCTTAATTAGTCGCATTTTCGTCTTGAGCTCTTGAAATACAGTTTGATATCTGAAGCTTTTGCTCTGAAGATATAGTTTTTAAACTCATCATTCAGTTTAAATAGAGTCTTGGCCAAAATGTTCGCATTCTGTTTTATATTATTGTTAGCGGCCCGGCATGGCCAGGTATTTAAGGCACTCGACTCGCAATCTCAAGATCGCGGGTTCGAATCCCTGTCTCACCAAACATGTTCGCCCTTTCAGCAGTGGGGGCTTTATAATGTGACGGTCAATCCCACTATTCGTTGGTAAAAGAGTAGCCCAAGAGTTGGCGGTGGGTGGTGATGACTAGCTGCCTTCCCTCTAGTCTTACACTGCTAAATTAGGGACGGCTAGCGCAGATAGCCCTCGTGTAGCTTTCCGCGAAATTAAAAAAAACAACAAGAAACAAAACAATTATTGTTAGTGTCTACGTGCATGGAGTAGTTATTACAGTAAATGCCCGAGTAGTAACAGAAAAGGTAGCGTACAGCCGTACAAACATGTACATGTTGTTATTCTGGTTGTATAAGTTGTTTTGAGCATTTCTTCGTCAAAACACACATAAACACCTGTTTTGTATAGAATGGTGTGCTTTTAGTATAATCTTTTTCGAAACAGGTCAACGTAATTGGTGTAGAGTCATGCCTTGTGACGTGCCAGAAGTTATAGGACTTCAAATTGTTCGACTGTCCAGAAAATGGTATGAAGGAAATGGACATTGCCAGAAAAGTAGTGCACCCCAATGTACTGTAACCAAAATCCTGAAATGTCATCGGACTACAGGAAACGTTGTTCAAGGGAAGTCTATTGGTAGACGCCGAAAAACTACTGCCAGATGACCGTGTTTTGATCAAGGTCGAGAGAAGTCTTGCAACACCTTACAACAGAAATGACATAGACACATTCATTCCAAAGTATCCAGAAGAACAGTGGATAGCAAACTGACCAAACAAGGGTTATTGGCGATCTGCAAACTGATATTAACCAGAATTCGTCGCCCTCACCGTGTTACTTAGGCAAAACAGCATGCCAAGCTAGTTAGAACACTGGCGACATGTCATCTTTTCAAATAAGTCGTGTTCGTCGTTTGCCTGGAGAACAAATGAGGGAAGACTGTCTTTTCCACAAGGAACACATAGGAGGTTGTGCACTACATGTTTAGGCGGCTATTCTCATGGTGGAAAAAATGTCCTTCATATCCTCCGAAGAAATGTAAATGACGCCTCCTATAGGCATTGCATGGAGACAATATTTCTGCCATATGCTAGGGCAAGGTTTGGCAACAACTCTGTGTTCCATGGTGACAATGCCACTGCCCACAGTGTGTATTGTACAGGATTATTTCGACCAGGAGGACGTTACAAGATTGCCATGACCAGGAAAGTCTCCATATTGTAATCCCATTGAGAACTGTTGAACAGAAATGAGTCGGAAAATTGCTAACCAGAACCATAAACCAGCTACTGTAGCTGAGTTGCAGCACTTTCTAGTGACAAATTGGGATGAAATCACGTTGGATTACATCAATAACCTCATCGACAGCATGCCAGGTTATTATACTACGAGGAGGGCCAACCAAGTACTGAATATGTAATAGGAATAATGTAACAGACGCTGTTTACAATAATTTGATGTAATATTTTGTAATTATATATGTTTTGTTGTGATAGGTGAAATACTGAATTACACATCTTTCTGCGGGTGTCTGGTAAAATTGTTTACTGTTCTAATAAATCGTTCATGATGTTCATAGAGCCTGTTTCATTATATAAATTACATGTGTAGATGTTTAATATGACATGCATTTCTCAGTTTGACAGTGCTAAGTGTATTTGTGTTCCATCTTAATAATGATGATCTTATTTGCTACAAGATATGCAAACATTCTGCCAAAGACTGTATAATTTGATTACTTACTGTAACCCTGTCAAAGTACACTGAGTTAAGTGGCTTCTGGTCACCAAATCACTACAATATAAATACGTCTGATGTTGCATCAATATTGTAAACAATATTTTAAAATATCTGAGTATTTTAAGCCATAGCTTTTATGATTGTTGTTGCTGTTGAAAGATGATAGTTTTCTATGGTAATAAATATAAAAATTACGCATAAATAAAATATTAGATAAAACAACACAATTTTCAATTTTTATTTTTAATAGATTATAGAACATAACCTAATCTAAGATTATTAGCATGTTACACTTTACACTTAATGCTTTAATAATTTTGCACTTTCACATCTAAATTTATTATTATATCGGCCAATAAACTAATAGTCATTTATGCTAAATTTA